GGGGGGGGGGGGGGGTGGGGGGGGGGGGGGGGGGGGGGGGGATCCTCAACTTAAAATAAGAACTCTTGTATGCAACACATACATCTCAAATGAAGAATATGCCTAGAAAGAAATTCATTAGTATGCCTCAAAACCTAAACTTCATTTAAACTCCAACTGTATCCCCAGAATGTGCTACATGACAAGGGGCGGCTGCTCTCCAAAGCTGCTCATTTGTCGAATATTTAAGAAGATTTTTGCGTTCAGGGGTTACACTAGATTGTAAATGATCATAAACCCCAACAGATTGAAAACTACAGCAGCACAAAGGTTGATGGCCCCATGTCAACGAGTTAATTGGATACATGTGACCTCAATGGCTTCTTCACCTCTTGTTTTCTAGTTTATATTAGTACAAGACAAATGGGCTTCAATAGAAGGATAGATTGTCAAAATTTGTTGAAAATCAGGATTCAATTAATCATTCTGGATGGGCTTTAGAGGTAATCATTGAAGCTATTAAAAAAATACCAGGAAGATGAGAAAGACAACTAAAATTCAGTCCAGAAGCTAGTGCTCAAATTATCTGTGTTTGAGAGTATACAATCTTTCCTCACAGATGACAGGATAGATATTCATTCTTTATTTTTTCATTTTTTGGACTCCTGTGGAGCAACCGAAAGGCATCATAATTGTTATTTCATTGTTTTTCTTGATTATTCCAAGTGCAGTGCATTAATTTTCTGACTTCAGTTTTTTCAAATGCAGGCTGAAAAAACTGCTGACAGCCAATCAAGGCATGAAACCAACCAGCAATGGTGAACTTTTTTCCGATTGAAAGATCCACATTCATCTCAAACACTTAACCACTTTCTCAATATAAGTTGTTTCTATGATGCCTCATTGAAAATTATAAATTATCACAGTATTTATGTTTGTTTCAATGCTTAATTGGGAGAAACGAGGAGTTTCTCTTTACAAATCAATAAAGGAAAATTTTGATTAGCAAAAAAGGAATACTTACCAGAGACTTCCAATTCCTTGACCTCACTAGAGAAGGCACAGTTATCGCACATTCCTGAGAAAGAGTAAATGTAGATGCTCAGAATGGCATTTCAATCAACCATTGACAAAAAAGAGTGACATTAACTATTGATAGTCTCGAGCAACAAATTGTACCATTGCAGTCTTGTAAAGACTCAGTAAAATGTCTGAAGAAAGCACCTCGACGGCATTGTGTTTTGGACTGTAAAAGAAACGAAAGCTGAATCAACAACTAAGGGGAAGGACCCTGGCAGATCCAATATACTGTGGAGAAATCGGAAGTATTATGATCACTTTGAACACGACGGCCACCCATATTTCCAGCAAAAGGAACATGGTGGCAGACTTCCTAGCAAACACATGTTCCAGACTTCCTAGCAAACAAAGGGTTACAAGGGTCGCCTAAGCTTTAATCTTCGTGGTAAAAAATTGAGTTGTGCACGTCCCAATGGTATCTGGTAAACCTTAATTAAAACTCCATCAACCTTTGACGAAGCTTTTTTACTTGGATTTCGGTCAGATTTCATGGACAAGAGACGGCATCACTTAATATCTGATGGATATGAAGAGACTTCAGCCCATCTATCATTTTATATTTCCATTTAGCAGTTCTATTTATTTGCCTACACCATTTTCAGGTAAGTTATAGTAGAATACAGCTGGATTGGAGGACAGAACCGGAGGGGCTTGATTTTTCCACAATTACTGAGGAGGATGCTAATTGGTTAGAGATACCATTTGGGGAGGATGAAATTAAGGAAGTGGTGTTCAGCATAAATGACGATAAAGCCCTGAACCTGATGGATTTTATTTCTCATTCTATAATGCTTGCTGGGAAGTGGTGCGATCAGACATTGTGGAGGTTCTTACCTATTTCTTTCAGCGTGGAAGATTCTTAAGGAGTACCAATGCTACGTTTATTGTGCTGATTCCTAAAAAACCAGGAGCGACGGATATTAAGGACTTTCGTCCTATTAGCTTGGTGAGTGGGATATACAAGATTATCGCGAAGATTTTGACGAATAGATTGAAGGACGTACTGGGGAAAGTGGTATCTAAATTTCAGAATGCCTTTGTCAAAGGGCGCCAGATTTTGGATTCCGTACTTATAGCAAATTAATGCATTGATTCAAGATTGCGACTAGAGGTTTCAGGAATGTTGTGTAAACTTGACATTCAGAAGGCTTATGATCACGTTAACTGGGGATTTGTTTTGTATATGCTTAGGCGATGTGGCTTTGGGGAGAAGTGGTGCCAGTGGATTCAGTTTTGTATCTCTACGGTTTCATTCTCAGTTATGATAAATGGCATTCCGGAGGATTTTTTTCGTAGCAGTAGAGGATTGAGGCAAGGGGATCCTCTATCTCCATTGTTGTTTGTCATTGTTATGGAAGCACTTAGTAGGATGATTGAGTAGGCCGTGGGACAAAGTTTGTTAAGGGGCTTTGCTGTTGAGCAGTTGCAGGTTTCTCATTTACTATTTGCAAATGATACGCTGATTTTCTGTGATGCGGATGATAAGCAATTCCGGAACTTCCGTCGTTTACTCTTGTGTTTTGAAGCCGTTTCTGGATTGAAAATAAATTTGGGAAAGTCTGAGGCTATTACAGTGGGAGAGGTCGATAACGTGGAGGGGTTGCTTGCAATCTTGGGTTGTAGGGTGGCACAATTGCCTATGACATATCTTGAGCTTCCTTTAAGAGCTCGGTTTAAAAGCACACAAATTTGGAACAGTATTGTGGAAAGGATGGAGAGAAGGTTAGCAGGTTGGAAACGTATGTATCTTTCAAAGGGGGGCCGCCTAACTCTCATAAAGTCCACTTTGTCGAATATCCCTACTTATTTCTTGTCATTGTTTCTCATTCCTGTTGCAGTGGCAAAACGACTAGAGAGGTTCCAAAGGGAGTTTCTTTGGGGAGGATTAGGGGAGGAGAGGAAATTACATTTGATTAACTGGCAAACAGTTTGTTCTCCTATTGGTTTCGGTGGTCTCGGAGTAAGAAGTCTTGTACTGTTCAATAAGACTTTGTTGGGTAAATGGTTGTGGCGATTCGGAGTAGAGAGGGAGAGTTTTTGGAGAGATATTATAAGGGCAAAATATGGTGTTTTGGAGGGGGATGGTGCTCAGGTGAGAGACGTGGTTCTTATGGGGTAAGCATATGGTGGTATATCCGGCGACGGTAGAGTGACTTTCGGGATCGGTTGTCTTTTGTAGTGGGAAATGGATATACCATCAGTTTTTGGGATGATTGTTGGTGTGAAGATCAACCGCTTAAGGTGAGATTACCTTCTTTGTACCGTATTGCATTGGAGGCCTCTGTCATGGTGCATGATGTCTTAGATATCCATAATAGGAGCCCTAGTGGAACATTGTTTTTGGCCAGGGTTTGCAGGACTAGGAATTGGATGATTATGCGCTGCTTTTGACATCATTATACGAGGTACATATCAGGGTGGGAGAAGGTGACTGTAGCAGATGGAGGTTGACATCAGGATGGGAGAAGGTGATTGTAGCAGATGGAGGTTGACACGAGATGGTATTTTTTCAATTCGCACTTATTTTAGATCTTTGTTGGGTCCTGTAGAGAGTTTATGCCCCTGGAAGATGGTCTGGAAGTGTAAACTGCCCCCACGCGTGGCTTTTTTACTTTGGACGGTGGTCAGAGGGCATGTGCTAACGGTGGATAACCTCCGTACAAGGGATTTTTATGTCACGGAATGGTGCTATATGTGTAAGAGGGATGGGGAGACGATTGATCACTTATTCCTTCATTGTGATATTACTCATTTACTGTGGAACGATATTCTGGTGTCGCAACACATGGATTGGGTAATACCGAGGCGTATGGAGGAAATGTTAAAGGCATGGAGGAGAAGGTTTCGAGACAAGGATAGCAAACTTGTTTGGGACCTTATTCCGGGCTGTATCGTTTGGTGTGTGTGGAGAGAACGGAACAATCGATGTTTTGAAGGCCAATCACGGACAATAGAGCAGATTAGGGAATTGTTTTATTTTACATTGTACACTTGGTTTAATGTTGCAGCTACTAGGCATATAGATGGATTGCCTAATTTCATGTTATTACTTTCCGATTTAAGTTGATAATACACTTCCTGTGTATTATGCACTGATTAATAAAATATTTGATTACCTTTCAAAAAAAAAAGATCTCAAGGAAAGGTGAGTTGTTTTTAGTACACAATTTCCAAGGAAATATTATAATAACCAGAAGTATGGCCCAGAGAGAGAAGATAATTTTTTTTTCAGGTGCCCAATTAATAACAAAAATCATACCAGACAATATCGCACGATGTCATAGAGATTCTGCAACCCGGAATTTTCATAGAAGACCATTGAGCTCTGCAGACAAAGTATTACTACAAAGATTTTGTAACTTTTTAAATAATTGCAAGATGCAGAAATTGACAAATAAAATACGACCTGCCTAGGAACATCGGCTGGTCTAAAGTATAACAAACATTCAGAAGGAAGTCCGTCTCTTCCAGCTCTACCACTCTCCTGCAATGAGATATGTTATAAAAAGAAAGACTATAGTAAAAAGTAATCTTATCGCAGGGGGACAAGAACCTGATAATACGTTTCCATTGATTTGCTTAAGCTGTGATGGATGACAAACCTGACTACAAGCAACCATCATATTATAAAGTAACAAAAAATATAATCATTATCATTCATACAACAAAAACCACATATATGCAGACTCGTACATAGAGAGAGATCTATATAAGTGCCAATTAAAAATAAGCAGAAAAAACAAAAGGATAATTCTTCAGCTTGCCCTTATGTTCAAACAGGCTCTGAATAACAACAAACTGAGCCTCATTCGTAACAAATTTGGGTTGTCGACAGACTACATAAATCCTTTCTAACCACTCCATTCAATCCAGCCTCACTCTACTGAAAGATCCACAGAAGTCAAAAATTTTACAACGACGTCAGGGCATTTTAATTTTGGGGTCTCTATTAATCAAAAAAATTAGTAACAATGGAAACGAAAAGGGATAAAAATTTGCAAAAGAAAAAAAAAATTCACTGCAGCATGCATATTTTCCAACAGGAAAAATAAAACATTTTTATATTCAAATCACCCACACAATTAGAAGGATAATGCTGCGTGTTTGCCTTCATCATGAGCAAATTGCTTCGATTTTGGGAATTAGAAAGAAATCTAGACATTTTCTCCAGACACAGAATGGCTTCTTTCTTAGATTTCATAACTCATACTCTAAAATTAATGGGCTAACTAATAGGAGAATCTCGGGCACTCTTTCTTGGTTAGATAATACAATCAATTTGATGAAGTATAGAAACCTCTAACGCTATCTTTGATTTTTTTCTCTAGTTTTGGAAGGAGTTTGAAGTTATGGCTTCGTGAATGCAAGAAAATTGAAGGAAAAGGTGCATGGCTAGTGGTGAGCGTTCAGATAACAACAATAACTAACCATCTGGTTTGTTGATTCCCATGCCAAATGCAACCTGCAAAGAGAATGAAACCTTAATGTGAAAAATTTACATCATGACACTAAAGGAGCAGAATTTATCTTCACCTACCGTGCCAACAATGACTTGTAACTTGCTTTTGCTCCACCTATGACATCAAAAACACCCGAGAGACTTAAGTCAAACATATGATAAAGCACGTAGAGACCACCCTTTAGCAATCATGAAGGCCAGTAATTCAGATCAAGATCAAGAAGTTTGGAATGCTGAACAAGATCCAAAATTCAATCACTTAACAGAAAGATCACTGTGATATGGATTTGATATTAATTTATCTACAATTTCCTTTCCGGAAATAGAGAAGCATAAAGTTATGTTTCCATCTCACTTGTATGCTACAAATTCCCTGAACCAAAACAATCCACAACTGGACTAAAACCATACAATGCTAGCAGGAAAAGTATTTATTTTCTAAAAATATCTGAAACCGTTAGTCTCTTTAATTTGAACTAGTACATGTCAGATTCATACAATACCCCTAAACATTATTAAACCATTTGAGCTTTTAAGCACCCTTCCTTTATTTTTGTTTTGTTTTTCATTCATCCATATTAAAACCAAATGCAACTCTCTCATTTTAAGCAGATGAAATTAGTAAAGGATATATACATAACCTAAAAGTTTTTATAACCTCACAACCACAGTGGAATTATTCTTTCACGATCAGTACAAAAAGTGCAAGCAATGTGATAAAGCAGGCAGAAAGTGTCATGGTCCACCAACATGAACAAATAAATTTCAAATTAGTGTACCGCAGATGAACTTTCTCACGAGAATTGACATCCATATCGGCATGATAGTAATCAGCCGAAATCCCCCTGTCACGCAATTCTTTTGCAACCTACATTATTGACAAGAAGAAAAAAAATCATAGCTTCTTGGATAAGGATCGCAAGACAAACTTCTAACCGAAAATTTCAGTAGTCACACATCCATGCAAAACAATTGAAAAGCTAAAGCAATTACAAGGGATGGCTATGCATAAGATTTTTCAGATGGTAGATGACGATAAAATAAGAGAGAAAACATTAAATACCTGTTCACACTCCTTTCTGGAGAAGCAATACACTATCCCAGATTCATTATTTGGATATGAAGTTTGTATATATTCAGCTATTCTGTCAACTACCAACTTTCCGACAGACGATTTTTCTCGTACCTAATCAATATATTATGTAATTCTAATGCATATAATGTGCAGTTGAAGTAAATCAATCTAAAATTTGATGATTTACAAAAAAGCGAAAGAAAATGAAATTAATGATAACTATACCATATAAAAGAGATTGGGCCTGTTCACGGTGCTCATAAATTTAATGCATTTTGGAATATGTAGCATCTCTATCAGATCATCTTGTACTTTCTTTGTAGCAGTTGCCTGGAAACAAACAACATATTGAAAACTCAAACAGTTAATAAAAACAATTCAGTTGCATGGAGCCAGAAGGAAAAGAAAAATCTATAATTAATTAACAATAACATGACATACAGTTAAAGCAATCAGAGGAACATCAGGAAACTGAGTCTTTAATATACCAAGATTCTTGTAATCTGGACGAAAATCATGGCCCCACTGACTACAGCAATGTGCCTCCTGCAAGAGATTTAAAAAGTGCAACCAATCAAAATCAGTAATTGAGTGTATTATGCAGCTATTTGAATAATAAATTGCAATTCAGCACTCGTTAACAAAATTATTTTACTTAACTTGCAACAAGAGTGGGACCAGCATAAAAGCAAATTTTCTATCTTTCTATACCATAATCTGACTGCACCAAAAAAGTGGAATGGAAAACAATGGAACAGTATGCTGAGATCACTGTCTGCTACGAATTAATTTATGTACAAAATAGATTATCTAAGATACCAAGTGGTTGCTTTATCCAACCAAAGCTTCTTTTCCATCACTACATCCAGAATCAAAATGTCCAAAAAGGGAATCATCCACTCATAAAGCATAAAAGATTTAAATAGAGTTTGATACTGTGGTCTAGAAAATTCCAAATAAACAAAATTGTAGGTGCTTAAAAATTTCTCAAAAATATATGAGAAAACCTGGCACTGAATATATTCTCTTTCCCTTTTCTCAAATCCTGTTAACCCCTTAAGTTAATTTATCCTGGATCCTTCCCCTCTCCATTATCTTTGTCACTCCCTTATCTCACCTCTTCCCAGTGTCAACAATCAAAATTTGTACCCTATCATCAACCCCCAATTAACTCTCAATGTTTTATAAAATTTTATCCCACTTTGCCCACTAGTCCCTACCCCTAAATGGAAGTTCATCTTTTCAATCAAATATTTCTCTAGTCACGAAAGCATTGAAACTTCATCTGTCATAAAACTGTGATATCTGTATTTAATTGTAATCCACTGGAACAAACTGGGAGAAAGTTCCACATCTCGAAGTTCCAAAAGAACACAATCACAATCTTCTCATAGTTGCATCTTTGTTTCCTCGTGAATCCACTGTAACAAGTTGGTATATATACACCTTTTGAATTTTCCAAAGAACGGGTTCTCTCAACAACTGTAGTCTATGTTTCCAACTAGTCCAGTACATCAAGTTTCATAGAAAATCAACATAATAAACTCATTAACGTATAAAGACAAGTAATACGTGAACAATGATATCAATAACTCATCCAAGTCGTACATAGATCACCAATTTGACAAGTAAAAATGATAAGTAGAGAGTGAGTCTGATTAATACATTTTTTAAAATAAAAAAACGAAAGCTTATTAATCATACTTAAAATACTCATACATCAAGAGAACGAGGAACCCTGTTTTAAGTATAAGAAAAACAAGTCTAGATGTATAATCAAGAATATATCACAATCTTCCAACCAAGAAAAAGTAAAGATAAAGGGAAGTCTTTAAACCCCTTTGGCGTATAACCCAATAAAGAAGGCAAAAATTTTGTTCTCTCTTGTAGATCACCAAGTACTTGTTCTTTTCCTAAATAAATTCTGGACTTCCTATCTATCCAAACTCCCCAAATAAAAGCCAACACCACAGCTTTCCATGTAACATCAGTCAACTATCCTGTGCCTTATTCGCATCAATGAGAGGACAAGGACAATTAACAGAGTGTACCATATAGAGTTCAGTAAAATCATGCAGTCTGTATGCTTACATCAATAGAAATTAGAGATAGGCGACCAGCATGATGACATTTTTCAAGTTTTGACATAAATCTCTTGCTTTTTGATATCTTTTCAGGTGTGACATACAATATTTTGAGCTCCCCTTCACCCTTTTCAAGAGCTTTATATATGAACTTCTCATCTTCCTTGCTTGTTGTTGACGTCAACATGAATGATGGAATACCTAATGCAGCCAAACTCATTACCTAGTGCAATGATCAAAGTCAGAGAAACAGTTCTGTTTCACTACTAAAAAGACATCAAATAGTAGGCCAACCTGATCTTGAATAAGAGAAAGTAAAGGACTGACAACAAGAGAGACTCCATTGCGAAGGACTGCAGGAAGTTGGTAACACAGACTCTTGCCTCCACCAGCAGCCATTATTACCAGGACATCTCTTCCACTTATGATCGCATTTATAATCTGTTCATAAAGAACTGTTTAGTGGTGGACTACCGTGGGACAATCTTAGACAAAATCAGCAGCATGTAAACGAACATAAAATCTTCTATTGGCATGTAACCCAAACAACTCGACCTGAAACAATGATGTTTTCCCCCGATGAGTACCACAGAATTAAACAATTGACTCCAGTCAACCTACTAAAACTTTTATACAAGGTAGTTGTTCAGTAAGTATATTAGGACAAAATCTTTTTCTGGTTTTTATCTTGATGTTAACCCAAATGACTAACAAAGAGAGAGATTTTTTGCGTTGTTTAATTTGTTATTATTAGTGCCTTGGGATTTCCTTAGGAAGGAGATGTAGATTCTTGAGATTTCAGAAGTCCTATTTAATGGGCACTTGGAGACATAAATAATTATCATCAGGAAGTGAACCCAGTTTTTTTATTGCATATCAGATCATGCTTGAAGCTCATTACACCAATCAGCTTGAGAAATCGAATGAATGAAGAGAGTAAAACATCAATGTCAGTTGTGGTACACTATCTGTTAAATTTCACAATTATCAATCAGGAAGAGAAATATGCCAAAAACAAACTCTTGTAGCAATGTGGCGAGGACATTTTCATGAGAGAAGTCATTGCAAAAGTATTTTGTATTAGTACCATCACATATTTCCTTCAATTTCTAGCAGTATCAAATAATCTGTTTTCAAGGTTTTAATACATAAGAAATGGATTATTCGTACTGAACTCTATCAAATGATGGTTGTGCCAAAAGGAGGAAAAGGACAAAGAAACATAATTAACTGGAATACCAGGTCAAGGCTGTAAAAAACTTTTGAGCATTCTTTCAGTTAAGCATTAAACAGCTTAACATCGAAGAGTTGCATCGATCACATTCGCAAAGATTAATGGTTTAACATATGCACCCCAGAGCATGTTGGCTAAGCTTAAGAATAGCAAGCATGGATGAGTTACTTATTTCTTGAAAGCAACAGAAGTCTGTCAAAGTAAGCCTCTGTTTGCCCACATTTTCTATAACTCATTTTTCCCCAAACTCATTTTCAAACAAACATTCTCCAAATAAAATAATTTTGCACGTGGAACCATGACCTCTCCCTACTTTTTAACCATAAGTTCTCCAAAAAATCACTTTTCACGAAAGCTATTCTAAAAAAATCTATACCAAACAGAGGCTAAGTTATTTACTCATAAGAAAATCGTTAAAGCTTAGACAAACGACCTCTTTGCCCAGAATGTCTTCAAATCAACCTTTTTTCTTCTTCAAGTGAGCCTTACAGAGTAAAAATTGAGAAAACTGTGACGGAAAGTACTAACCTCGCGCTGATTTATGCGATATGAAGATATGCCAAAAACATTAAACCTAATGTCATCAGCCTGGGAGTCCCATTCAAAAGTTCCAGACCAGTTCTTCAAGGAAACAGAAGTTTCATCCTCACCACAGCTTCTAGACGATTCAAAATGATCTAACAGAGCTTTCAGTTCAGATTGTCTCTCATAAAGCTCTTCTTGCTGGTCAAGCAACGACTTTATTTGGCCTGAACAACCAGAGAAACAGATTAAGCCCCATCTTGGTACATGTTCTTTAGAACTCATTTTTCCCCAAACCTCATACTAAACCACACATTACTGCACGTGAACGGTAAATTTTTCTTCACCCATTCTTCCAAAAATACCACTTTTCACAAAATCTATTCTCAAAAATCTTCATCAAACACGCCCTAAAGAAACTAAAAAATAATAATTAGGTATCTAAATATTATTTTGTAACATACAAAGAGATACCTTGAACATCTTGGAGCTTTATTTCAACGTCGAGCAGCTCCTCCAAAAATTCTTCTTTACTTCCCATTTTAAACTCTCTCTTTTTGTGCGAAATGTACTAATTAAGAATTAAAAGAAAAAGTTAACACATGTGGATTAACGACAAACTCGGGCTCGCATCATAAGTTGCATGTATTGATCCTGCGAATCGAATTTGTGTTCTTGATTCTATAAAATGGAGGGTTTTGGAACTGCAGTGGAGCCGTGGAGGTGCCCGGTACAATGGGGCTTTGGAAGGCAACTTCTCAGCCTGTTGTGTTGCGTTCCAGATGTGAAGTGTAAATAAGGCCCGTCAATACCCGACCTGTTTAAAAAATTTACGAGAAGAGTTCACAATTCAGTCACGCAGTTTCACAATTGCAAATATCAAGTATGAGGGTGTGTTTGAACCACATTATTTTGGAAGAATGTATTTTGGAATAATAGATTGATGAAAAATGTGTGGTTGAAAAAGAAGGAAAAATTATTGATGTAATGAAAAATATTATTTTATGGAAGGATGTGTGGTTGAAAATGAGTAGAAAAATAAGAATGAAAATTTTAATGTGTACCAAACAGGGACTGAAGTTTAAAAAAGAATTAAACTATTTGTACAATGAGTTTGCACAATAATTTTGATAATGTGTGATGTGTATAAATCATTGTTATTGAATTCAAAAACAATCTTTCAAATCAATGGACATAATGTCTGTCAACTCACACATTGTCAAACTTATTGTCAAATTCATTATACAAGTAGCACGGTTCATACAATTAATGATCACATGTACATAATTATAGGTCATGTATTATTAAATTAATTGGTCACATATAAAAAAATGTATACGTCACAATTTATTTCATTGATCACAGATCAAAAAAATTATGGGAGTGTTTGTTTTTTATTTGAAAATTGATTCCACACATTTTTCAATAAAATAATATTTTCCATCACATCAATAATTTTTTTTTCAACCACATATTTCCCATCATATCACTATTAAAAATCAATTCTTCCTCCAAAAATCCCTACCAAACAAGCTCTATAGGTCAAAGTTTATCTATCGGTCACATATTTTTAAATTTGTTTGTCACAAATTATCGAATTTTAAAGTCACAATTTAATGGTTAGTCGCAATAAACCAAATAGTTGGTCACATACACCAAACACCCTACCCCCTATCCATATCCACCATCAATACTTGGTTACAAATTAACAAAATAAACGCTATCCCATCACCGCCACAGACATAAATGCACCACCATCGTCGTCGGAAACGACGCTGTGACTATCACACACATCATCGCCGCTACCACCCCCCACAAACGCCTGCTCCAACACCACCTACCACCTCCACCTCTAACAAATAAGATCTAAACCAAATCTCGCCACCACCACAATTTAACAAATAAAATCTATCGAAAAACGAGGAGCCAATTTAATATCCGGGAGATGAGAAACAAATCTAGCATGTGGATTGAATCAATAACATCAAGAATTTGAAGAATCAAAGCTCCTTGCTGAAGATCGAGAAGAAGAATTAGATCTTGATATCTCATTCTTGTATTTATAAATTTCGAGTGTTGCTTTATCGCAATCTAGTTCTTGTTTTGATTTTCAACCCCCGACTTTAATTTTTCAAGTTCTTGATGTTATTGATTCAATCCATGTGCTAGATTTGCTTCTCCTTTGCAATGAATATTGAATTGGCCCCTCGTTTCTTAATAGATTTTATGATATGAACATGCTTTGAAAGGTGAGAGAGGTATTCCTTGAATGTTTGCCTATGTTCTTGATTTATAGAAGGTGAAATTAGGTCAAGAAACATATCCAAATTAGGTAAAAAAAAGTTTCAATCAAATAAGGAAAATTGTCTTTGTGTCACGTCCGGGTATGTCTTGCACAACCAGCAGTATTGCTGTCAAAATTTTCCCTTCTATTATCTTATTAAGGCGATTCAAAGTGTATTAAAAATCTAATTCAAATGGCTACAATTTTTCTAGAAATATCATTTTTTCTATTCGAACGTTTGATATGATAAAAATGGATCTCAACCTGAGACTAAAGTATGGAGCATGATTTATGATGCTAGAAATTGATTTGTAAAAATACTTTAACTACATTTTATTCTTTTGACTTTTAATTGCATCCAATTAATTCTTGGAATTCTCCAATTTTTATTTTGTGGTTCGAATCAATTATTGAATATTTGAACTTTGACCCTCGAACTTTGGATTTCTTTCAATTTAACTTGTTTTCCGTTCATTTCTTTTAATTTTATTTCAATCATTGAATTTTACCTAACGTACAATATATACAAGAGATTATGCTATAATTTATCTAAAGTAATACAAAATACCCTAATTTATGGCCTGAATATTATTAGTCTACACTTCCCAAATCGCTGTCTCGCCTAAAATCCTCCACCACCACCTCAAGCACAACTAAATGCATACAAGAAGAAGCAAAAACAGCGACGACAACGTGATAGAAAGAAAAGTAGATACAGTAACACACCAAAAAGCAGCAAAAGCAACACATCCACCACCTCCACAGTTAACAAACCGTCACCACCACAACGACACCAAAATATCCTTCTAAATCAGAAATATTAGTGATATCGTCACCTCAATGGCGGAATGGGTTTGCAACACCACTATCCTCGAAGTTTTTCTTGTAGATTTTGGCCCTATATGATGTTGTGAGGCTAATCGAAGGCAGAGGTTGTGTTTGAGAAGTGGTTCTATCGATGACAAGTGGTTTGTTCGATGGTATATATGGTGGTTCGAACTGTGGGATATAGGGGTTTGGGTGCATTGGGGTCAAGCTTTAAGTAGAAGCGGTGGCTAGAGTTGGGTAATAAGGAAGATAAGGAGAAAGTGGTGGAAAGCGAACTTGGGGGTTGTGACTGTGGGGATAGTAGGGGGTTTGGGATGGAAATGGGGTTAAGGTTAGGATTTCTACGGTATGTGGGTAGGTTTGGAATAGGGTGAGATGGAGTTCAATAATTTTTTAAAGAAAAATTTGGCACTTGATTATTGAAAAGACAAATTAAAAGTTAAGTGTGTTTAATTTCTTCTTTCAATTATGCCCCATGTTTTGCCCAATTTTCTGAAGTTCATTTTCTTCAAACTCATTTTTAAAAACACATTTTATAAAACCTACAAGTTTTATCAACGTTTTAATCACATATTTCATCAATTCTATCAATATCTGTTAAAAATTTAATTTTTATGTAAACAGTGTGCTATATATGAGGCTGAGGGATGGGCTTATTGCTTAAGAGTTGGCCCAAACATTTATTACTTGAGTTCAATGACACAAGGATTGCTCACATTTCTTGTACTCATTACAGTTATAAACATAATAATTGCATCTTCCTTTTATATTAGAAAATGGAGGTTCCATAGTCAATTATGTAAGGGGAAGAGGATAATATTGTTCAATGAACATGAGGGAGGGCCTATAGTACAAAGGGGTCGGGGATTGTCGAGTCCAAACAAATAGTCATATGGGGTAGATTCTTTAGATTAATGTTGGGTGATAAAGTTTATCGTACCTCTCCTTTTAGCTATAGCTTTTGAGAAAAGTAATCACTTGTACATCAATATAAGCCCACATTGGAAGGTATGATCCAATTATGCTAGTAGCATTGAAAAATTAAAATGTGATTGTGTTTGCCTTTTCATTTTTAGTAAATATCCCTTCGAAATTTTTGCCCCATGGCAAGAATGAAGAGTCCTATTAATTCAGGCCTTGAGTAGATTTTGTTTTATATATCGGTTTTATAAGATTTGATGTATTTTGCATTACTTGCTATCGTGTTATTGTAGGGATGACAAAATGGATCGTCGGCTTGAGCTCGGCCCAGAAAAAGCCTGAGTTGGCCCGGCTCGTGGCTCGGGTCGATGCTATCATGTTATTATAGGGCTGACAAAATGGCTCATCGGCTAAGGCTAGGCCCGAAAAAAGACTGAGCCGGGCCAGCTAGTGGCTCGGGCCAAGCCCCAGTTTGGGGCGTCGGCTCAAGCCCAAGCAGGTGAGCCACACGGGCCGCTTTGGCCCTTACAAGTCGAGCCCTTTAAAGGCAGCTACTGCCTACACGCAGTTGCCTCTAAACTCTAGTCAAAAGTACAATATCACGTTCGTAAAAATTTTCAAAATTTGAATTTGAAATTCAAATATAATTAAAACAGATATATTTTTTTGGCTATAAATACGGAAATAATACAACTTCATTTCAATTTACTTCGATCTATCTCCAATTTCTTTACTCCATATTCAGTATATCAATCTCCAATTTCTTTATTCTAATCTTCAATTAAGACATTTAGTTGTGTTCTGGTTTCAATTTCAATATTTAATTTCTTTACTAAGTCTAATTCAATTTCTTTTACTCTAATATTCAATAGTCTTTACTATAATAGGTACAAATTGATTTTACTAGTGATGAGATTAATNCTTCCGAAGAGGGAGAATACTTGTAGATGGACGAATTACCGACCATCAGCCTGTGTTCAATAAGCTTATCACAAAACTGTTGAACAACAGATTGAGTTCATTTATGCCTTATATTATTACCCCTCAGCAGAGTGGATTTGTCCCCGGTCGACTTATTGGGGCCAATGTTTTGTTGACCCAGGAGATTCTACACACGTTGGATAATAGAATGCGTGGAGGGACTGTTATGCTGAAACTTGACATGGCTAAAGCATATGATCGTATGGATTGAAGATTCATTTATTCTATACTGGATGCGTTTGGTTTTGACCAATTGTGGATTGATCGGATCATACGTTGTATATCAGAGTCTCGATTCTCAGTACTTCTAAATGGACGACCATGTGGTTTCTTTACTTCATCGCAGGGACTCAGACAAGGAGATCATATCTCTCCATCCTTATTTATTATTGCTGCGAATTACTTTTCTCGATTACTTACTCGGAGATTTCAGACATATCCTAGTATGCAGTATCGACAGGGAGGTAGTATTCTTGTCTCTCATCTTGCTTTTGCTGATGATATGATTTTTTTTACTAATGGACAGA